AGGCTATGGCACCAAAGATCACTCGATAGGAGTTGATTGCCAGTTGCATGGGGTTCAACTTATAGTAATGAAGAATCTCGCGAAAAAGAATATTGAGTGGGAGCCGGAGTCCGCACTCAGTAAAAGCTACAATGGGAAAGGGCATGGCGTTTTCTGTAGGCATGATGGAGTCATCATCCCCAGCTAGCCTTAGATGGACATCGGCAGGGATGGAGAACTCTTGCCTAAAGTATTCAAGTTTGGCCGGGGTATCTACCCTATGCCTCCACATATCCATGATATTGGCCTGAATTAGAAGGGTTGAAATTCAGAAAGAAGATGTTTCTAATTGATGGGACCTCGGCAAAAACCTAGGTTTGGGCTGGTATAGAAATTTGTAAGGAATGTTTCAGTTTTGCCCTAAATCGTAGGTTCTACAAACAAACCCCAAACCTAAAACTATGGAAATGAAGATCAAAGGCACAGATCTGGAAAAGACACAAGAAACAGAAAGCAAGAATGGAATTTCAGAATTAAGAACAGAGATGGTTCATCAAGATCATAAAGAATACAAGAAATACAGTGCCAAGATTAGTGACAAAGATACTGGGAAATAGTGAAATAATGCGTATGTTCAAGATATGGGTAAAGGGAAAAACATGAGAAGGATACATTCAGGTGTATGAATTGCAAAATTAAAAGTTTCAACAGATGCAGTAAAAGCCACAAGTAACAAAGAATATCAACAGAATTAAAAAAAGAAAGGAACAGTAGCTTACCAGAAGAGAGTGAAGTCGGTATGAAGATTGCCGAAGTCTGACGAAGGTTGCAGGAGTAACAGAGTAGCGAAAGCTTCACCAAAAAAACGAACGAAGACAACTGCGGAGCTTGGAACTTGAGCAATGGCGGATTTGAAAGAAAAAGTTTAGAGAGAGAAAAAACAAGAGAAATCAGATGCAGAAGTGGAAAAGTGAAGAAAGGGGCAAAAGTTTTGTCAAAAATAAAAACGGCGGCAAAAAAAGTAATCAATACGCCTAGAAGAACGCATGCGTCAAACGGCGCACGTGGGAAAGAGACGGTTTGTAAGCGCGTCGTAAATACGGTCCAATGAGATGAAGACACATGAATGAAACAGTTGAGTAAATGATGCGTGACAGCTCACACACGTGAAAGAATTCACAGGAATTCTTGTTCTTCGAAGAGAACATGTCGGCCTGAAATGAATGATCTCGGCTGAAGAGTTCGAAAGCCAATATACAGGAAAAAGTGCCGATATAGGTTCCATCACCTCAGAATGTTGAGGTAATAGAACCTAGAGGGCAGTTGTGGGGATGTATTTTCTGAATACCAACACGTGGCAAGGTGACGCCGACGTGTCAGCCGAGGTGCCACGTGTCCTGGTCGTGATGTCGAGGTTATCTCGGCAAGGCTGAGGTTATCTCCGAAGATATCGGAATCCGAGATAAGATGATAAAAGATAAGGGACAAGAGTCCTAGGATAAAGAGGAGATTTAGCCAAGATAAGGATAAAACTCTTAGAGAGTTTATCTTTATCTCTTGAGGAGTCCAAAGTAAGTACTGAACATGAATCCATAGAAGTCAGGCTTTTATTGGGATTAGGATTGAGGTAACTATAAAAGAGAGGCACCACCATGGGTTTAAGGTACGTAATTTTATGTTTTGAGTAGTGAGTTTAGCACTTGATTATCTTTTAGAGATATACTTACTTGATCGTCGGAGTGCCCCGGGTGAAAGAGCCACCGCCGGAGCCTTTTCTTTCTGTTACAGGTTAGCTGAAGCCATCTATTCTGCCGGTGCTCTCCAGCTAGTTACTAAGCAGGCAGTGTGGTCAAAAAGATTTTCACACAATTATTATTATTATTTTTTTTGTATAAAGTAATTTTAGACGACTAGTCTGAATTTTTTTCAGTAACTTTAAGTTGTTGCTAAAAAAAAACTATATATATATTAATATTATTGGTGAAGAAGTTGAATGGAACTTTTAAAACCTTTTGCTCTTATTTTATTGTTAGTTTTCTTTTAACGGAAAATAAACAAACATTGTTTTTGCTTAATTAATTAGAAAGTAGCTAATTAAGCACAAACCAAATATAACTTTTCTCTCTGGATTACGATGAGCCTCTCCAAAGGGATTCGGATGAACCTCCAAGATTTAGTATTAGAAAAATAGTCCGGCGAATTAGAACTTTCTTATTTTTATTTATTTTTTATTTTATTTTTTACATGTCGGACATTTTTTTTTGAATATTAATGTTTAATTTTTTATTTATTGTTAAGTAAAAATTATTATTTTTTGTTTTATTTTTTTCTAAAATTTTTTATTTTATTTTTATTTTTTTAAATTTTTTTACATGTTGCATTTTTTTAAAACACTAATATGTAGCCGTTTGGTAACACTTACGTTTCATTTTCTGTTTATATTTACAAAAATTAAAAACTCAATAAAAACTTGTTTGGTAAAATTTTTGATTTATAAATCAGTGGTCTCAGTTTATAAATTTGCCAAAAAATTAAATGTGTTTTCCGTTTTCAGTTTTCATTTTTTTTTTTTTTTTACACCCAACACTAGCCACCACCCGCCACCATTTCACCACACGTCTTCCGCCACCACCACTTACCACCCACCACCACCACCACCACCTGCCACCACCACTCACCACCCACTTGCCAACCCACCACCCCACCTACCTGTCACCCACTCGCCACCATACCATCTGCCACCCATCGCCGCCACCACCACCACCATCTGCCATCCACCCGCCACTACCATCCACGCCCGCACACCACCACCACCCCGCCGCCTACTTGCCGCCACCACTCACCACCCGACCTACTTGCCACCACTATCCACCACCTGCCCACCACGCCACTAGCCACCTGCCACCCAATATCGCCACCACCACTACCACCGCGCCACCACCATCCCACCACCCCACCACGCACCCACCTGCCACACCCACCACCCACCACCACTCCTACTCCTACCACCGCCATCGTCACCCACCCACCCACCACCCACCCACCCACACTACCACCACACCACCTCACCTACCCGCCATCTGCCACCCTACCTGCCACACCACCATCACCACTCGCGCACCACCACCAAACCACCCACTCGCTACCACCCCGCCACAGTCACCACCACCCACCGACCCGCACTACCATGCACCACCACCCACCACGCCCCACCACCACCACCACCACCCACTCACTACCATCCACCACCCGCCACTGTCACCCACCCACTACCACCACCCCATCTGCCACCTCACCTACACACACCACAAAGTCCCATCACCACCACCACCACCACCCACCGTCACCACTTTCCACCACCGTCTTCTGCCGCCACTTATCACCACTTGCCATTTCTCACTCTTTTTATATTTTTAAATTTTTTTAAACATTTTTTCAATTACCAAACGCGTTTGTAGTTTATGTTTTTTTAAAAATTAATAAAAAAATAAACAAAAACCAATTTATAAAATTTTTATAAATATAAACTGAAAACGTAAACGTTACCAAACATTAATATTTTTGTATTTTGTTTATTTGTTTTATTATTTTATATAAAAATAATTTAACAATTCTTATACTAACAACTATCATCAAAACAAACATAATTTTACTTAATCATCTCACTAATAATAACCTCACTATCAATCCCCGTCATTCTATTTCTAAAAATAAATCTCCTTACTATCAATACCATCTATTCTATCTCTAAAAATAAACGGGCCATAATTCAATCTTCCCTATACATTCACGGTAACCAGATATGTCATGGTCCCAGCATTTTTGTTTCACTAAAATGCGCATCAGGTGAAGCCCGTATTGGTTAAGCCATTTTTTTTTTCATGTTTTGCAGAGTAGTTGCAGCACTGTACTAGTACTACTACTAACAAACACCCGTTGCAGTCCCACGGAAGCGATAAACTCCCATGAATTAAGAGCATCTCCAACCCACTAGATATATGATATTTGTTAGTCAAAATGTCTAATGTGACTCACTTTTTTCAACTTCAATGTATTAGGCATATGCTTAGGCATTTTGGCTCAGCTCACATTCACTAGCTACATGTAGCTAGCCTTCAAGGTTAGGCAAAATGTATTTAATCATTAAGATTTTTTCCCTCCATCTTTGTTGCTGATGTGACATTCTATAAAGTTAATAGTATTTAGATGTATAGCTAAAATAAAGAGCATGGTTGGGACAGAAACATGAAATCGTTGATAGGCAAAATAAAATGTATACTTTATAATAATATTTACATAGGTAAAATGTCTACTACCATTGGAGATGCTCTAAACACTCTTTTTTTTAACTGATTCCAAAATTCAAAAACTTGATTAATTACACACTTAATTAATTAAGTACTTGTTTTTTTTATACTTAATACATGTCAAAATATCAAAAATACCCTTGAAACTAATCTAAAAACAAACGCGCATAATTCAATCTTCACTATACATTCACGGTAACCAGATATGTCATGGTCCCAGCATTTTTGTTTCACTAAAATGCGCATCAAGTGAAGCCCGTATTGGTTAAGCCATTTTTTTTTCATGTTTTGCAGAGTAGTTGTAGTACTGTACTAGTACTACTACTAACAAACACCCGTTGCAGTCCCACGGAAACGATAAACTCCCATGAACTAAACACTCTTTTTTTAACTGATTCCAAAATTCAAAAACTTGATTAATTACACACTTGATTAATTAAGTATTTGTTTTTTTTATACTTAATACATGTCAAAATATCAAAAATACCCTTGAAACTAACACAGAATTCCTCTCCAAAAACAATGGCCTCTGGCCAATGGGAAACCATTCCCAGGGGCTGAATTTTTTAATGGCTTCAGCTTCACAGAAGGAAGCATAATAAGAACAAAAAAAAAAAAGAAAAAGGAGCGACATGAAAGTCATTACGAAATGTGGGGAGTGTAAAACTGGAAGATTATATTTGAATAATGAATTTAGATAAAAAAAAATTTATAGAAAAAGGGAAAAAAGCGTGAAACTTTAATTTTATTTCATCAACATCTCATCCACATCTCATCCACATCCTTCATTTCTCTTTTTAAATCTTCACCCAAATTCATAAATCAAACAGAGCCAAAGATGTGTTCAAAAAAAAAAAAAGAAAAAAGAAAAAAGAGCCGCAGATAGGGAAGAAAAAAAGTAGTTGTTGAAGAGGATCTCAGTACGCAAACCCATTTGCTCGATTTCTGGAACCTTTGCGATTCCGAGAAGAGGAAGGAGAAGAAGAAGAACAGGGTGGTGGTGGTGGAGCTTTCATGGCTGAGAAAGAACAGTTGGGTCGGTTGTACATAGTGCTGGTAGTGGTAGTACTCTCTTCTTCGTCCATGAATATTTGCCTGCACCTGCATTCCACGCTACAAAATGCTCTATCCCCTCTGTGTCCCCCCACAACCAGTTTTGTAAAAACAAAAACGATCAGCCAAATCAAGTTACAAAAAAAAAAAAAAAAACTATATATATAAAAAATAAAATAGCCAAATTTTTTTAGTTATAATAGTTGTGCTTTTGTTTTTGGTTTAATTTTTCAGAAATTAAAAAAAAAAAATTGTTTAAAAATTATTTTTAATTTTTCTCAAAAAGTAGCTCATTTTTATAAAACATTAAAGAGTTTTTTTAATTTTTTTTTTTTAAATTTGGAAATTGGTTTTGTATAAAAATAAAAAGATATGACTATCTAATTTCCAACACTTTAATCAAATTTTCCTTAAAATATATTTAATTTTTTTCTTCTTATCTATCAAATTTGATGGAAAAAAAATATCTCCAATACTTTACGATGAGAATAATATTTCTCACTTAATTTTATCAACGTTTGATGAATGAATAGAAATAATTTTTTAACACTTCAGAGATGCTCTTAGAAGCCAAAAATCTCAAAGCCACTTTTTTTATTTTTTTTTATTTTTTTAAGATGAGGACATAGCCAACCTTAAAGGAGTTAAGTGACTCATTTATAAAATAAGAGGAAAATGTATAACCATTTAATGAGTGGTTATTAATTTTAAATATATAAAAATATATTTAAAAATATACTAAAATTGTAACTACTTTGACATATTTTTTTTCTATTTTAAAAATCCATGAAATAGAATTTCAGCATAGCTTAACTTCAAGTGGTTATATTTCCAAATTTCTAAAAAAAATAAAAAAAAAAAATATTGAGATTGAGTTTATGGAGAAATACCAAACACCTGATTAGATTACATTAAGCTAGCTTACTAACCCCTTTTAAAAGGAGTGCCAAACAGAGCCATGAAATGAAATAGGTTTTGAAGGAAAAGAGTGGAAATGAAGAGTTTAGCAGTCGGTATGATGATAAAAAGAGAGAGAGGGAGAGATCTGGACATTTGAGTATGTATGTATGTATTGTGTAATGGTAGCTTACTTGTACATGTAGATGTCTTTGCCAGGCAATAGCTTCTGGTCGCATAGGAAACATTGCTCCAAAAAACTCCCCGCCGGTAGGGCCGCCGTACACGGCTGAGAATTCCTTCTCAAGGAAGGAGGTGGTGGTGGTGGTGGTGGTGGTGGAGATGGAGACGGTTTGATCATGGTTGCTTTGTTAATAACCTGTGGGTTGTTGTTGTTGTTGTTCTTGTTATTAGAACCCTTGTGGGTATACTCTAGAACTATGCTCAGTCCCACCATCTCTCATGTTCCTCCTCTCTCTCTCTCTCTCTCTCTCTAGTTGGTGATGGTGGTGGTGGTGTGTGTTGGTTTTGGTGGTCGTGGGTGGTGTTTGACGGCGAGGTTTGGTTGATGATGAAAATAAATAGATGAGAGAGAGAGAGAGAAGAGAGGGGGTACAACAGAGGAGGAGAGGAAAAAAAATTCAGCAATGATTGAGGGTCATAATTTTTGTAATTCAAATGATTTGAAATTATTAAAATGACGTCGTTTTGAGTATAAAATAATTTTAAAATTGTCAAAACGACGTTGTTTTTGACAATTTTGAACTACTTAAGCCAAAAAAATTGTGGCCCTTAAACATTTTCTAAAAAAATTATATGATATTTTTGGGACAAGCTCACGTTGTGGGTCGTTTGTTAATTATATATTTTAATTAAAAAATTAAAAATTTTGTTAAATTATTTTTTAAAATTTTTTATAAAAATTTAAAAAATTATTAAAATAATATATTCCAAAATGAGTCATTATTATTGATTAGTTAAAATTGTGAGATTTGTATTTTTGGTTAAGATTGCAAGGATTAATTTGATATGTATTAAGTGATAAATAATGTAAATTAATACAACAATACTATTAAATAATGACAAAAATGTTAGATATCTTTTGAAAATTGCTATTTTTTTTTAATCAAAACTAAGAAAACTACAAAACTTAGAATTCGTAATATTGCTCAACAATGACTTAGGTCCAGTTTGGCATCTCCCCAAAAAGATAAAAAGAAAAAAAATTACTTAAAAAGTTAAAAAATTATCACTATTTATCAAAAAAAATATTAAAAAATTAATTTTTCACACATCCATACAACTCAACAATCATGAAAAATCTGGCACTGTGCAGCGTTTGTTGAACAATTTTCACATACTGTTGTTCGGCTTGTGGGGCCTATCACCGATCCCGTTTTGTTAATTTGAACCGTTCAATGTGTAGAACTCGTCAAATACTATATGTTTATAAAAAATCATATTGATCGGATATCAATAACTACATGATCAAATCAGTTTTGTATAAAAAAATGGATGGTGTTATAATTAACGATTAAAAAAAACAAATCTGATTAGATAGCTATCGATATTCGATCAACATGATTTTTTTCAAGCATATAATACCCGACGAGCTCTACACATTGAAACGATTCAGATTATCACGGTTCAGATTATCAAAATAGGACCCGTGATGACCCCCACGGGCCGAACAAAACAGTCCAGTGCAATGTCTAAAAAGTAGCCAATAATTTCTTACTATCATTTCGGCTATGCAGATTGTACGGTTGTGGCCCACACATCTCTAATATTCTCCTACATACTTTTTTGTATAATTTTTTAATACATATTTTTTTATAAAAATTCAAAAAGTTAATTTAAATATTCACATTTTTTTTCTCAATTTTTTAATTTAAAAAGATAAAAAGTATATTTATTTAGGATATCTCAAACAACCCTTTAGAAAGGAGAGACGTGGTTGGTCCTATTAAATTTTTATATGTAATTATTTGATAGTATTTAAATATTACTTTATATTATTTATTATTTGGTACTTATTTTTGTTAAATTATTTTTAAAAAAAATTAACAAAAATATTAAATCTTATTATCTTGATCAATTAACATCAAGTTTGAAACCAGTAAAAAATAATTTGACAATTTTTAGGGAGAAGAAAAGAGGAGCAGTAAATGAGGACAAGTAGCGTAGCCAACGATCTAACTCCTAGTGCTTTTCCTACCTGCCACGTATGTAGCTCATTTCAGCAAATAAATAGCTATCAGTTTTTTATTTTTTTTTTTGGTACATGTGTTTTTGTCTTCTTGTGTTTCTGTTTTTTTTTTTTTTTTTTTTTTTTTTTTTTTTTTTTTTTTGACTCTGTCTTCTTGTGTTTCTGTCTACAGTTTTACGTACAGATATTGAGATCTTTTTGATATTTAAGGGTTGTTTGAGGTGTCTTAAATAAGTGTATTTTTTATTTTTTTGAATTAAAAAGTTGAGAAAAAAAATATGAATGTTTTGATTAACTTTTTAAATTTTATAGAAAAATGTGTATTAAAAAATTATATAAAGAAGTGTGTATGAGAAAATTAGAGATGGGTGGGCCACAGCCGTACAATCTGAATAGGAAATTGATGGTAAGAAATTATTGGCTACTTTTCAAGCATTGTACTAGACGGTTTTGTTTGGCCCGTGGGGGTTATCACGGGTCCCATTTTGATAATCTGAACCGTTCAATGTGTAGAACTCATCGAGTACTATATGCTTATAAAAAATCACGTTAATCTGATATGGATAGCTATCGATCAGATTTGTTTTTTTATTTGTTAATTATAATACCATCTATTTTTTTATACAAAACTGGCTTGATCATGTAGTTATCGATATCCAATTAAAATAATTTTTTGCAGACATATAGTACTCGACGAGTTTTACACATTGACGGTTCAGATTATCAAAATGAGACCTGTGATGGGCCCCATGGGCCAAACAATAATGTGTGAAAATTACACCAAAACTGTGTAATTTTTCTTAACAAAGGCTACACGGCGCACGCCACACATGATGGCTGAGTTGTATGGATGTGTGAAAAATTAATTTTTTAATATTTTTTTTAGTGAATAGTGATAACTTTTTAACTTTTTAAGTAATTTTTTGTCTTTTTAAAAGATGCCAAACTTGACCTTATTTTTTTTTTTTTTTTTTTTACTATGATTTTTGTATGTGTTATCAATTTTGAATGTGACAACCCAACCCACGAACAATACGAAATATTCAAATATTTTAGAAGAAATTCAAAAAACATTTAAGATTTAATCTTTATAATAAAATAAATATAATCTTTATAGTAAAATAAATATTTAATTTTATTAGTTTAAATTATAATATTTAATTTATTTTTAATTTAAATTATTTATCTATTTTTATTATGTAAAATTGACAAAAAATATATATCTTAGTCATTAAAATCAATGTAAATATACATAAAGTATTTAAACACTACAAGAAATGTCACTTTTAGCTACCAAAATATTGGTCGCCAAAAGTCCAATATTTAGTCGCTGAAACGATATAGCGACTAAAATATTTGGTCGCCAAGGTCGTCGCCTTTGCCCTGTCGGCGATAGTATTGGCTACTAAATTTCGTTTGGTCGCCGAAAGTGACCACATTTGGCTACTAAAATTAGTTTAGTCGGCAAATGTTATGTTTCCGCCACTAAACCTTTAGTCGCCGAATGAGGCTTTTTGGCTACTAAGTTGTTGTGGTCGGGAAAGGTGTCACCTTTAGCTACTAAATAATTAGTCGCCGAAAGTACACTTTTAGCTACGAAACATTATTTAGTCGGCAAAAGGTGTATTCCGTGACTAAAAATTTAGTGGCCAATTGTTTCTTTCTCTCATTCTCAATTGTTTTAGCTACTAATTATTTGGTCGCCAAAACTTTTTGGGTTATGTTTTGCTACTAAATTATTAGTCACCAATACATTTGATTACATATTTGGCTACCAAAATATTTGGTAGCCAAAAGCTTTAACGTATTTTTTTTTTTTTTAAATTTCTAAACAACCTGTATCCATTATGAATACAACCTGTACCCTGTATAAACAATATAATCCATCAACACTAAATATGTTACCAAGCATTCAACAATGTGCACACATTTTAGCTCCAACCATCCAAAACATTAATATTGAACGTCCAATTCTATATATAATACAAATTCCATACGAACCAAGTCTAATCCAACGTCAATAATTTCATTTCATACATAATACAGGACTAACCAAATTAATTAACAAAAAGGACATATGTACCACAACCTAAATTAGCATATATGCTAATTTCTACCATGCCAAATTAGCTACCATTTACCACACCAATGGTATTTCTTCATTTGCAGCCTGTTCCCATTATCCCAAGTTTCAAGAGCCGCAATATGATCACTGTGCTTCTCAAGCAAATCAGCAAACCGCAACATTATTCGTGATCTTTCCTGAAAAAGTTTAACAGGCGGTGTGATTGGTTCCTCGAATGCAACAGCGGTACTAAACCTAGTGATGCCTCTGCTCCAGTTAGAGTACCGACCTGAAATTACAATTTTTTGATCAGTGAGCCATCAATCAATCACATGCCTCATAATACTTACAAATACAGACTATCATCCGTGTTTAACATATGCATTTTTAAAAGAATGCCACAGTTCAATTTTCTCATACACACGTAATGTAACCTATTATCTATTTGCTAATAAGTCCTTCGAGTCTGAGCAAAAGATCATAAAGTAACCAATGAATACATATTCTCAGGCAAATTCTAATACTTTACCCGCATACAGAAAGCTAACTCAACTTTCAGTATGAAAACAAGCATTACAGATACATAAAGAAATGCTACACCAACAAAACATTTGGTTTTCTCTTCTAAACAGAGTTAAGATCATGAATACAGCACAATCAACATTACTCAAAACACCAACCAGCCTTTGAATTTTAATATTTGCCAAATATGAATGTATTCGGACCATTCAAAGGGCAGGTCATAGCAAGGATGAATTATCACTTAGAATTTTGGATTAATTCCAATTCCATTTTGGATTAATTCCAATTCGGAATAACAGTACTTTCCAACAACATAATATACCTTATGGTGATACATATTATCACCTAAGAATAGCATATAGCATTACACAACTAAAAATTTCACTGGAAGTACCATAATACAATAATTCCATGAATATATAACAAATCCACTAAATGTCATATGGTATACCCAAAAAATAACATTTGGGACCGACATTATTAATCGGCCCCCTCATCCCCCTAATTCCATCCCAACAAACAAACATGGACAAGGAGTTAAGAATTGTTGTTATTCTTTCAATAATTCTAACAATCTAAACCTAGATTAGTGACTGAGGTGCGAAAAGAATCAAAGAAAATAGAATCTAAAGTAATTTCTTTGGGAATTGCAGAAGTCTCAAATGAATATTTTCAACTTACATGTTATAGGTCTACGATCCAATAGGAAAGCAGGACTATTAATAAATAAGCATCCCAAATTATTACGCTTAAACAAATAACCCC